GCTGGCTACTTGTCTACCAAAATGACCCAGACTCGGTGTCTGTGCTACAGCTACCTTTGCTAGTTGACTTGTGAGCCCACCAGGACCAGCGGATTATCCCCTTGGAAGAGCCCACCGTAGAGATTATCATCCACTAAGAAATGATCACCACAGGGTCACATCTTTGGTCAAGATCACCCATGGAAGGATCATCCCTTATGGAATGATTTCTCTCTGGAATGGCAGATCCTCCCCCTTAGGGCAAAATCGCCTGGTGGGTCGACGGACACACAGGCTTTGCCAGGGGGGGTGAAGGGGAGCGAGTCAGAGGGGAGCGAGCGGGAGGCCCGGCTCCTCTGTCTCCACCGTGTCGCTCCTTGCATATGCAAATGCCTTTGTCCCTCACATCCGCCCGCCCGCCCGACCCGACCCCACAGGGGCCTAAACGCTCCCGCTTACGGCCGCCACTTGCACCATTGCTCATATGGTGATTAGGACACCGCCACGGCCGGAGCAGGAGAGCCGAAAGACTCCTCCAGCGCGCCGACGACGACCCTCCTCGTCCTCGCCCGCGCCGCGCCGCCGCCGTCGTCGGACCAGAACAGGAAGCTCCATTGCACTCTGCCCATGCCGAGCAGCCAGCTTCCTGGCCGCGTCAACTCGGGCAAGGCGGAGGAGCGGGACGAGGGGGGAAACAAAACAAAACAACACAAATACAAAAGCGAAGAGGAGCAATTAGAAAAGAAAAGCCCGCCATCACTAAAATGGGCGAATCATAACAAGAACAGGGAACGAAGGCCACACAAAGCAGGAGGGCACACAGCCGGGACAAACACGCGCGGGGCGTCGCGTCCCGCGCGACCGCGCCGGACCGGACCGCGGCGACGCAGATCGCACCGGCCAAATCCTAATCCGTTGAGGCATCGCGAAGGGCACGGCTGAGCACCGCTAACAACTTCTTTTCCTTTTCTTCTTCTTTTTGAAGCCTGGGAAAAGCTAACATGCGGCTTGGGGCTGTGGGAGGGAGGAAGAGGGGCGGGGGGCGTGTAGTACTACGGGATTACAGCACCGGGCGGGGGCTCCACGCGGTGGCAGAGGGGGAGGCGGCTACTGGTGACAGACGGTGTAAAATGTGGTAATAAAAAAAAACAACACAACAAATGCACGACATCCACCCACTAAATCTACAGCAGCAGCAGCAGCTAATCTACTGGTCGTTCTGGAGGGTTAGCCGCTAATTCACTCACCGCACAGCTCTGAAGTGTTTGGGGCGAGCCGGAAAAAGGAGAAGAGGACACACAAGCACATAGACAAGCAGAAACCAATTAAAAAGAAAGAACAACTAAATAAAACACGAAAAGAAAAGAAAGGAAAATTGACAATAACGAGAAAGTAGTCGGGGTTCTAGTTGAAGTAGGCGAAGTAGAGGTCAGTTTGCATGGGGACACCCACACGCCGACTGCGGAGCGGGGTGCGCAGGTCAGGGAAACCAACGGAAATGCCTTCTGCACTCCTCTTACGTGACTTTTTTTCCTTGTCCAAAAGCGTGGAGACAGTTGTGCTGCTGCGGGTAAGGGTCGCAAAATTACAGGGAAAACGACTGTGCAATGAGTGCGCCACGACGTGGCACTCCGGAAGGGAGAGGACAAGGGGTAGGTAGGTGGGGCGGGTAACCGGTCCACAAACGGGGTCGATTCACGTGGGAGATGTACACATACTGGCTGAGGGTTAAACACAGAGGTTTTTCTTGTTTGCTTCCAATAATGGAGCCACGATTGTGGCTGGTTCAGGATTGAGCATTAAAATGCCCCGCGTTCGGTGAACACACTTTGCGCCCCACAAAACAAAATCCGCCCACGCAGTGCCTTACACACACTAATTATGTAACACAAACACACAAAAAAACGTTCAAACTAATGAACGTCCACCATGGAGGGGGTTGCGTAGGTTTCGGAGGATAGGGGCGAGAGCCCCGCGGGGTTGGGGGAGAGGAGGGAGCATCACGCAGTCTAAGACAGACAGACACACCATTGCTCAGCCTGATGTACACGCTGGACTTTGGCATAGCGCTTGGTCGCGACTATATCCTCCCG